CATAGGCATATATATACGCCTATATAAATATATACGTATATGTATATAGGCCCATATATAATGACGTATAAACAATTATATATAAGCCTATATGAATGTAACCTGATTTTATAAATAAGTATTTGTTAAGAGGAAGAAATGTGTGGCCCGTTTATCAAAAAATAAATGCATGCATGTGAGGTATAGATGTTAATTGTTTAACAAAGATTGAATAATACGGTAATGAAGCATATTGCCGACTATATTCCTTTTCCAGCCTACATCACTACAGATACCAACTAGTTAGAAAGCTCAGCGTTGGTAATAGTAGTTAAAACGACTACTAGCATGTAGGAATATAATATTTACGATCATTATTATTGTGCCAACACATCTTTAATCATCATAACAATTAATATTAATGATGACGTCGTAATCAGTGTTTGTTTCCATGACGATACTCACAATCTCCCCCCCCCCCCACCATCCCCGATTATGGATGTAAAGACAGAGTGAATAAATAGTTGTAAAAATGGGGAGATGAAGTAGAATGCAGAAACAGCCGAGCACTGAACGCGACAAGTTACATAATGAGATACGGAATACATAACACGTCAAAGTTTGGCAAAAACATTCGATTTCTTCCTGACGGAAGCTTATGTACATACTATTGACTATAATTTTATAATTGTATCAAGGGCGACTTTAGCATTCTGTTACCATTCTCTTATTAAAAATACAGTATAACAACATTATTTATTGATTTCAAAAAAATGAATTTACTTACAGCCAAGCGCTTGTGTTACATCCTACAAAAAAATACACGAGGGAAAAGAGCAAAAGAAAATATTCCGTATAGTATCTCCACGGCATTGTGTCAGACAACCTCCACATTTTCACTATTAAAAAAAAAAGGAAAACACGGATTCCGTGCTGTATGTGTCAGCTATGCACGACAAACTCAGGGTACATTTATGAGACTGAAATAAATAAAACAGTTTATCCCCTTTACGTTTCCCCTGGCTGCGAAGTTCCAACCTTTCTTGCTGCAATACCTTTGAATATCCCTCGTGTAATCAATGAAACGATTGAATTCTAAAATATCGTATGTTCCAAAATAATTAATCCTCAAGTCGTTATTTTTTAAGTAGTTTGGTTCCTCTTTCAAGTTTATTTTTTTTCTTTTTCTATGGCTGGCGTCGGAGTTTCGTGCTATTAGAGTCCTGCGATGTTCCAAGCAGTGAACCGTTTGTAAGTCTCTTCATGTGTGAAGGACTATCGCTCCTGTGATGATCTAAGCCTAGCTCTTTAACCAATTCGCAAGGCATCATGGGAACTCGTAAAAGTCGCAGGGAATTTACAACCAGTAGCGGCAGTAAAAGAACAACTCGGAATCCAACAGATTACCTCCCGGAAGGCCGTATCGTCTGCTTTAGTTACTTAATAAGTCAATCAATCTATATAAAAAAGTCAAAAGCAGAGTTTGTTCAAGATCTGTTTCTTTTCAATCGGCTATTGTATCAATCGATGTTTTTCTTAAGCGGACTTGTTTTCTGAAAGTAAAAGTTAAATCAACCGATTTGTCTGAACATGGAACTTTAAGACCGCTCCATTGTCTATTCAAGATCTAGATGACAAATCGATCCTAGATTTTCTTGTCCTAGGCCGTCCCTCTTTGATGATTCGGCGACTTGAAAGAGTGAAGATTGTTCATTCTGAACAATAACGCACCCGAGAATAAAGACCCAATAAGGGTATCATTAGCCAAGAGACACTCTACAACCACGCCTTATGATTGGATTATGGTCCACAATTGTACTGCAGTTTAAAAAGTCTATTATTTCGTGGACAATGGAGATGCGTAAGGATATACGGTTGTTCTTCATCACATGCATAGTTCATCAGGAGAATGTCCTAATGAAAAGAAGAAAAAAAAACTAGTTGACGTCGGGATGCCACACAAACGAAAAGTATTTAACGAATCGGAAATGAATTTGTTAATTCAAAACGAGAACTAATTAAAGAACAGGATATATAGACAATCGGCATGATGGAGTAAATCAAAGAAGATCCGTGTCTTCACCCTCATTCGACGTAGGCCTAAACTATGGTATATAACTTTACAGTTGTAAATAATTGGCCTATATCATTAAATGTTAAGACCTATACATGCATTTGCTTATCAACTTTAATATAATGAAATTTGATATTATAAACTGGTACCGTACTTATTAATATATTACGTGCAAATGGGAAGCAATGTCAGTCTAATAAGTTATGTTATCATACTGATGTTAAATTTAGTGGATTGCAGGTGATACAGTAAAGAAACATATCTCAAAGTAGGCCTATAATATTCATAGCGGGCCTATATTATGTGTAGTTCAATTACTGTAAACTACACTATCCTAGATAAGCACTGAACTAGTACGTGAATAGAAGCTAATAGGCCTATAGGCATAATAGGCCTACCTGTGGATTTGTTTTATTTATATCCCAAAAGACAGGAACCATTTCATGGGTAATAATTTAATAATAGTTTCTACCACTACATCTCTGATGATCAAAAAGCAAGTTTCGATTTTCATTGGTCATGAGTAAGATACAGTACCGGTTATGGTAGAGCAGAAAGGCAGGGCCGCCGCTCTCTGATGGAACTAGTGTTCCCGGAATAGACTTATACGTAATTGGCTCATGTGCACTATATAGTACCTAATACACCATGGAATGAGTTTTTAGACGACTAGGGGTTGGCCCCTTCATGGTTCATACACCCTTGCAGTGGACAGGCGGGGTAACCGGCATCCTCCTTCCAGGTAGCTAAGTTACCATGAAATGAACCATTAGGAGAGAAGAAAGTTAAACTACGAACACGCATCGAGACTTTTAGGTATAAAAAGCGCTACAATAAATTACATCAACAAACAATTGATTGATATCAGACAATGACGATGTAAGAACACATATTAATTTATTATTTACATTTTTTAATATTTCATATTATAAAATTCTTTTTATTCTTTTATTATATTAACTAATTTCCAGCAATTAAAAATTAAGAGAATGTGTAATTATATAATTATATATAGTTTTATACCACAAATTCAAATATTAATTCTACTTCTGAATTATATTGAAGTCAGACATAAATAATTAACAATACAATAGCAAGATTATTTCGAAACATAAATACGTACCGTAGCATTGTTTTCAAAGTAAATATTATCATTACGGTATCAACAGTTCCAGAGGACAAGTATACACAAAACTTACAGTTTGAATAAGATTGAATTAAAAGTCAGTCATATAAATAATTTAATAGATTTACCGAAATCTGTTTACAACTTTTGAGCTTTTCTAGCGAATTGAAGTGAAAATCTTATTTACTTGTTCACCTCCTGCCAATGGGACAATGTACCGGTATATTTACGTAATCAGCGGCCCTTTTGATGTTCAGTGAACTCTAAAATTAGGTAAAAAAGTTTTCACACAATGCAATACAGTGCCAGGGAACTTCAATCCACTAGAGTGCGCATGTGTAATAAAATCCATCTGATCAACGCCTTGTCATTGGCTGCGCGTTCTCATATACGGTAATAATGTACGCGACCTCACTGTTGCTACAAAGAAAATGGATATGTATATATGTACATTGATATATATATATATATATGTATTATTTTTTTTACCAAATTTTGATTTTAATGTTTTTTTTTATAACAATTTGATACTTCAATATTTTATGATAGTTACGGTACTAAGTAAGTTAATTTTCTTTCTATAAAAGTGTTCTCCGTGTGTGACTCCGTACTTATGCCTTATTATAATTTTGTACAGGTTAGTTTATCTCGTAACTTCAAATGCTCACCTTAGAATTTTAGGAACGTCACTCAAGCTTTTAATGTTTTATGCTCAACTAACTATTTGTCTGGTTTCCCAGCCATGAGACTAATTTTGTGGTCAAATTCACTTATGTTTGTCACAATGGACATAGAGGGCGCCACGTGATATTTCCGAGATATGCGGGAATGATAATGATCTTCATTGAAATTGTTTTTTTTATTAGTATACATGCCATATCAATAACATTGATAAAGAAACATAACAAAGTTAAGTCATTTATCAAATAGAGTATGTCATGTATTTCCAGACGGATAGGCATAGAGGGCGCCCTGTCGTCAGTTAAAATGTTGGACGCGTTTACTGTACTGTACACGGCAATCTGTATCACTTGATTTCAAAGTACATAAACACTTGAATAATTTCGTAGGTCAATTTAAATAATGTCATAGCGGACGTCCTTGGTATTGTAATCATTTCTTTTTAAAAAAATTATAAATTAAATAATGAATCTCTATTTAAAAATGTTCAATTAATAATACTTATAAATAGCTATCAGATAGTAGATCAAAAGCCTAATAAAGTAATAAATAACGTTTACCTAGTTACATACACGGCGATCAGGAATCAATATTATAATAACGATTAATTAATCACTTCCTAAGTGTACGTCCTGGTTCGCATATAGGCCTACGTAAATTGCTATGGTTAACAACCTGAGAGATTTGAAATGTGATGAGTGACTACACCAGTTGACTGGGGGAACAGGGGTCGTCAGGGCCCCCGCCGGGGTGCACGGGCGAAGCCATTTTTGGGACCAACGATCATAGCAGGTTTAATTTGAGCACCCGACCTATGTACACAAACATTTAATTACGCAAGCAAACAAAAATGAATTGGCCTTTTCCACTTTGGAATAAACTCCTCTCTCGAATAAACGCCAATTATTTTTCCCTCAAATAAACGCCATGTAAATGACTGTAACCAAATCTAATGGAAGCAACATCATTTTCAACACATTCTATTAATGTTCTACTCCAGTAGAATCATTCATACATTTATTTTCTAACCTGGTTGGGTCAATAAGATATATTTTATTGTGGTACTTTTATATTATATCGGTAGATTAAGTATACTTTTATTATTGTCATTTTAAAGAGGGCCCCTGGATATCAGCTGGCATTCGGGCTCAACTGGAAGGGTTACCCTCTTAAAATAAAGTTGTAATAAAATAAACAATAAAAGAAATTAAGCTGTATCACGCAATATTAACATATTTTGAAGATAATATGTTGTAGTATTACGTAGGCCTATCCATTTTACCCTAAAACACCCTTATCAACAATAAACGCCCCGGGGCGTTTATTGCTTAAAGCTGCTTTTGTGAGCAAACCAATATGTATCCAACCAGTTGGTCGAAATCCACTTTGCCAAAACCCAGATTGCCGAATCCAGTTCACCAAAAAAATGAAATTCCAATTGGGCGAAACCCGGTTTGCCGAACTTAGTTTGCCGAATTGTGTCGTCACCACGGTACAAAAGCGCAGCACACTAATATTTTGAACAAAAAGTAATAGCGGCAATAATGTGGGCAAAACCGAATGTAAACTCAGACTTAACAATCATAAAAAAGTAGTTAGTGCAATTTCAAATTTACCTGAGATTCTACTAAGGCTAGAAGCTAGAAGATGTGATGAGATCCGTTGGTTCCTTGGTCATAAATCTACGTTAATGGTTTAATTAAGTTTTATGAGTGAATATTCTTTTATATACCGTTATATATATATATATATATACCTGTCTCTTATACACATCTAGAAGAGTAAGTAGGTTCGGCAAACTTTGTTTCGGCCATCTGGGATTTATTGCTTTTGAGTCGGCAAAATGGCACTCGGCAAACTTGGATTCGGCAAAGTGGTCTCGGCAATCTGGTATTCGGCAAACTGGATTTCGACCATCTGGCCTAGAACCTTCTACTCTTTCAATTTTAGGGTTTCAGCAAAGCAAATGAGAAAGCGTGAGGTGGTGATATGTACATGTAAAATCCCCTCCTATCCAACTCATTAATTGCAGTTTGAAATAAGGGTTAGGACACCTAAGCCAACCAAGTACCCATTGGAAACGTCCATTAGGCATAAGCTATGGCTCGTGCTCAATGGAGCCTAATGCTTATGTACAAATAATTAGTTAATAAAGGGAATTAGCCTTACACAGAACATTATTAATATTAGCGGGATAGTATGGCAACAATACAGAATAATGAGCTTATGATACTGACGTTTTTACCCGGTATACCAATGTGCGTATACTTCAAATAGAATTTACGACAAGCGACAAGCAAGTTTCAAGAAGAAAACACTTCAGATACAATTAGCTGACGAATTCGCCATTATCGCAAAACACTTACCCATTGAAACAATTGAATGGTCTTCCAGGTGTGTGAACACGTTGATCAAGGTTAAACAAGAATCCTTCGTTACGTTATTATTTATCAGCCTTGTCTAGAATTTAACGGAGGGGTAGTGATCATCCTGGAGCAAAGCGACGAATGATTGATGCTCGACTCGAACAATTCTACATAACTCTGTGGATAACATACTTGCCCATCTTCATTTCGTCATTCTCCCTTATCTCTGGACACCTTCCTTCTCCACTCATACACTGATAAAACACTCTACCGACCTGCCAATCCATATTTAATCCAATGACGTATTGATAATTTGTATTTGCTACTTGTCATAAGTGGTGGTCGTTTCGATAACCTAACACAGTTAGCCTGGACTTGCTGCCTACGGGTCGGGAGCGTGTAGTCTTCGTTCGATTTCACCTCATAACCCTCTCGAAATTAAATTGTTAGCTTTTCATGTTATTCATGGTAATAGACACGAGATAGACGAACTCACGAGTGAGACAGACACCTACCTGAATGGGCATGGACTCGCGGAGAAGCATCACTTGATAATGATGTGATTTCTGAACAATTAACACATAAATTATTGACACTATAAAATCCCAAAGTAGGCCTATAACCTGTCATTCAAATGCATCAACTCATAAGCGCCACAAGTTTATTTCAGTTTAACTCAGTGATTTATAAATGGTCTCATCTTGTTTTCAATAACATAATGAAAACATGTTTTAAATTCGTTTCGACGCACCACTATATACAGTGGCGCAGCCAGCACCTGAAATCGGGGTCGGTGAATGTGGGCAAGTGAGGTTTTATGGGGAAAGAAAATTATCTGGGGGAAAGTGCCTCTCTTCCTTCCCCACCCACTACCTTTCGTAACGCCTCCGCCACAGACTACATAGTTGGTGCCTCAGATGAAAAGCGAGTACAGAAAAACTGAAACGAAAACAGAGTGAACTTTTGCTCGCAAAAGAGTAAAACTAAAGTGAGCCCTCTATAATGATAATTGTTTACTCTCCGTAAACAAAATTATATTTGATTGAATTGATTGATTGATAACGTCACAGAACAACCATCGTAGTCTTACAGGCAAGGCAGTATAGAATAAACGGATTTTCTGTTAATTTTAAGGTTTTTAACTTTTTAATGTTTGATGTATTTTAAATATTCGGTTAAAATTTTTAGATATATTTGTACAAAAATGTAATGTTTTTTTGTAATTTAATAAAAAACTTTTTTTTATTTTAATATTATCGTGCAATTCAGTTGTAAGGCTGCGATTACAATGTGTTTTTTGAATAAAAGAGACAGGCCAGACAGCGTGACTAATTGGGCTGATCACTGATCCAAGGACCGTCAAATGAATACGAGAGATATATTATATGCAGAAACTATCGGTTAATTGAAGGTGGAAGTCTATTATTTATTTGTTTGTTCATACTACAATACTTTAAGCTCTTCCACACTATAAAATTTCGATGTAATTGGGGTGTAATTGGCACCATCATGCCCATACGGGCACCTCACTCAAGTCCGCTGGTTTGAAACACAGCAACCGACAGTTCGGACAGAGCTTATGTAAAGCCTACATTAAACTTGACGTGCATACATTTTCCCTTTAGTGGCAGAAGGTAAATCCAACTTGTAGTGTGTTAAAAAGTTATGTTTGATTAAGAAATCATGTTAGAGATGTACCTTCTGCCAAGAATATAGATAAATAAATAAGTACACTTTTGGAGAAACTCATGTATATAGATTCTCAGACCATAGGGTACGATCTTAAATTCAGTAAATTCAGAAACGTATTAAATATTCAAATAAGGTAACTCAAGTTTGATTGATTGATTGTTTGATTAGTTAATTGAATGATTGATTAAATTAATGGTCGATTGATTTTGATGGGTCAATTTGTTGATTTCTTTCTCGCTTTTAATGATTGTTTCATTGACAGTTTGATTGATTGATTGATTGATTGGTTGGTTGGTTGGTTGGTTACTTGCTTGAGAGACTGATTAAATGATTGATTTGATTGGTTGATTGGTTGATTGATTAATTTGATTGATTGATTGATTTATTGATTGATTGATTGATTGATTGATTGATCGATCGATCAATCGATTGATTGATTGAGTGAGTGAGTGAGTGAGTGAGTGAGTGAGTGAGTGAGTGAGTGAGTGAGTGAGTGAGAGAGTGAGTGAGTGAGTGAGTGAGTGAGTGAGTGCGTGAGTGAGTGCGTGAGTGAGTGAGTGATTGGTTGGTTGGTTGGTTGGTTGGCTGGCTGGCTGCCTGGTTGGTTGGTTGGTTGGTTGGTTGGTTGGCTGGTTGGTCGGCTGGCTGGTTGGTTGTTTAGCTGGTTGGTTGGTTGGTTGGTTGGTAAGTTGATGGGTTGGTGGTTGGTTGGTTGGTGGATCGATCGATCGATCGGTTGGTTGGTCAGTCGGTTGGTCGGTGGTCGGTAGGTCGCTCAATTGATTGATTTATTGATTAATTCATTGACTGATTTATTCATTCATTCGTTGGTCCGTTTGTCCATTCATTCATTCGTTTGTTCGTTCGTTCATTCATTCATTCATTCATTATCATTCATTCGTTCGTTCATTCATTCGTTCATTCATTCATTTATTCGTTTATTCATTGACCGTCGGATGCCGGGCGGATCAATGATTGTTTGATTGACGGATACGGATAATGATGATAATTGATTGGTTGATTTGATTGATTGATCGATTTAATGGCCGAGTGGTTAGCAGGGGAGCCGCAAGCTACAGTCGGCGCTGGTTCGAACGGCACACTCCGTACACTCGCCTATGGTTCTGGTGGTAGAACATTTCTTTTCGGATAAAGACTATAAACCGTAGGCCCGGTGTAGGCCTATACAATGGCTCGTGTGCACTATAAAGAACCCAGTACATCCTTCGAGACGAGTAGAGGGGATACCCTGGTGTACTGGACTGGACAGACCCTGTGGTGGACTACGAGAGTTGCTGGTACCGGGTTACCGTGTAGCACTATACACGAAGAGACCCTTAGGGGTGAAGAAAGTCATTGATCGAGTTCCTAGTCCACAAGTATCAAGCCAGAGCATCTTATGTTAGATGGATATGGCGCTATAAACTACATTCTAGCCAGTAGTTCAGCCATCCCCTATCACTCACTTCCTCCTCAAGATTGAATCTGGGAAGTGCGGAGGTCAGAACCAACTGGTTCAAGACGATCTGTAACAAAAACGGTACCTCTACCTGATATACCCCCTCTATTGTCCTACTATTATGGGCGCTATAAAGTTTATATAAACACCCCTTTATAAATAATGAACGGTTCCGTCACTCCACAGCATACAAACAATCAGATGTCGTGAGCGGACGAAAAGAAGAGAGAGATAAACACATTGTTAAAATAATAACCTTAACTTGCTGACTATATAAACCTGCAAATGTTTCATTGGAACTGTGTTGTACACTGTCCTCGGATTCATGTCTTGAGATTATCTAAGTACGATACAAATAAACATGACGAATAAGGTTATATACTTTACAGTGGATGGTAAACCCGAACAGGCGGAGTTTCGTTCAGACTTTCCAGCTGACGACGTGAAAGGTATGTAGGCACGTATGTACAGTATGACCTTACTACAGTAGGCTAGGCCTGGACCTTGGTCTACCCCCAGGCCTACGCAATCATAACAAACCGTAATTATACTATAATAAAGCCTAAGCTAGGGTTAGCTAGGCCCTAGTCTAGTCTAATAATCATGTTGATTATTTCTACTGTTCACCAGCCAGCATCCCTCCCCTCTACCCCATCCATGATCAGAGTCCATCATCATGCGTGATGTTTTTGTTTTTTTTATGCTGTTTGTCAACTGCTCAGAATTGAGAGGCTAGGCCAAGCCCCCCCCCCCCAGTCCAGTCCCCTTCTCCTACCATAGTCAAGTGCTCAGTTCCAGCAGGGTTTGGATTTTTGAAAAGCAAGAGTCATTTATCGGCCAATTCAGTAATAATTACATTATTGTCTGTAGTACACTGAAGATTAATATAGGCCTACTGTACTTTTACTTTTAGCTTGTACTGTATATCCTCCATGATAGTATGTGCTGCTATTGTGTCATACATCAAGCTAGGCCTACAAGACTAAAGTTTGGGTTTTCTTTTTCAATTTTTAATGTAATTCTAATTTAAATAGGCCAAGCTAACAATGGTAGCCTTGTTTGCACTGTAGTTTAAGTATGGGAGTAGGCATACTGCATTATATCAATATTTCTTCAAATAGATACATTATTAATTCTCTGTTTTTTTCATGGTAATTGAAACAAACACACTTGGCACAAATAACAAATTTACATTTAATTGAATTAATTTGTTTAAAATATTTTTACCCGAGAAAATAAAAAGTAGAAATGTAAATTTTTATGCATAGAAATAGCCCATTGTAAAAACTTACATTAAAACAACCCATTAACAACTCAAAAAATTGTGCATGTTATGATATAGATTAAAATCCTTTATGAAAGTACACAAAAAAAAAAATACCTATGGTTAGGGGTAAAATTTGACAAGATTGGTTGGATGTAGACATGCTGTATACCGATGTTCACACTAAGGATTCAGGGGGAAAATTCTGGTTTGATGTGAAGTTTTTTTTGCTCAAAAGGTGTCAAAATATAAAGTTGAAAGATATTGTTTTTATTTTGAGACTGCTATAATTTTTGTGATACTGTACAATGAAAAAAAAAAATATGTGCCCTTCTTACTAAGGGATTTATATTGATTTGGCCATTTTGAACACCGAAAGAGTAATCCTGTCCCATTAATAGGGGTGTTCCTTTAATAGGGTTGGCTGTAGTGTTAAAAGAAAATTCCCCTCATTTCACGGAAAAGTGTCCTTGAACAGGGTTCCCCTAAATAGGAGTGTCTCAAAGTTGGATTCTACTGTATTACTGTATGTTGGTCGTATATTTTGTATTTTGGACGACATTCCTATGGTAACTGGAGGTCTTTGGTCATGGTAAGCTATGGCAAAATATTCCAGGTCCTAAAGAGTAAAAGGTTGCCGATCGTAGGTGTACAGTACTGTAGGGTGCTCACTGCAGAATTGCGATGTGCAAGATCTCAGAATAAATTTTTTAAACTAAAAATAATATTAAAAGGTTGTTTATAATGACCTACAGTATTTATCAACTTTTTGTCTCTGTGATTAATTCCGAATGACTACTTTAGATTCATTTATGTACAGTTGATTTAAAAACATATAACTCTAAGACCAGGGTAAACTTTTTTAAATTGGTACATTATAAATTGTTGTTTATTACTACTAAATGCATTGGATACTGCATGGTAGCGAGCTGTTGTGTGCAGTCAACTAAACTGGTGGTAGCATTGTGTGTGCACCGAACCATAGACTTTTAGTCACCAGTACACCTCTATCTACTGTTCTCCTGTGTGTCAGCTGGATGGTTAAAATGTAAGCTTTATAGCTAGAACACCACATTTCAGGTGAAACGTTAAGCCAATGGTCTCGTATGTACAAGACAGCACTCTTCGGAAAAGAGTAGGCATTGTTTAATTGTTGTACTGCCCAATTCACTACTTAGGACCCAGTGGGAATAAGTCTTCAGACTTCTCAGTATCTTATACTGAAGAAATCCATCTACTACTATGTTTACCTTGGTGTGTATGGTTTACATCAGTACTATACATTAATTGTGGGATCTGGGGGACATGATGGTTCTCAAGGGTGCTTCAGTGTTACAATTGAGTATGCTATAGTATTGAGATGGTCGCTTTTGTTTGAATGAAGACCAGCCAAACTTCTCTGTAACCTGATAACATAGTTTAATATCAATTGATATTGTGCACTGAGAGCCTATTAGAATAGTTTATATAAATATTTATGTAATGAGTATGCCAGTCTTTGTTGTTGCTCTATTTAATGGCTCTGTGTGCACAATTTATGGCAGCTAATTATTTTTAACACATTTAGTATGAAACGTTGACCAATGAACTTACAGTATAACATCTTTTCAATGAAATGTTTGTACAGTAGATGCAGGTACAATAGGTGCAAGGCCGCAGAGTGGCTGTGGACCCCGGTGTAGCTTTGCCGATGGCCGATGCCCCTGAAGAAAAAGTGGGCGTCGCTCAAAATCTGTCGAAAGGGGTTGGGGCGAAACCCCGGAAAAATATGAAAATTTTGGAGTTTCAAAGGCTTACAGTATTTAGTCCATTTTTAGAGTCTACTAATAATATGTAGAAAATACATTTTTTTTTTCTCCCGGACGAAATGTGGTTTTTCTCCCCGCGTGGGGCGGGGGAAGCCTGTGGTTCCTACTGGTGCCACCCCTGCCCAGAGAATGACTTTCACAGATGGATGGTCTATGTACCTGAGCCCCACCATTGTTGGGGCTGAGGTACAGTAAGAACATGATTATTGCACCTCTGGACGGCTGGAAATGGCACTCTTAGAATCTCTATCAGGTCTATTCATATTTTCTAACTTGTAAGTATTGGCGATGTCCAGAGTCTAAGCCTTCGATAATTATTAATTAATGATGCAAATAATATACTATTTGATACACTGTAAAAATAAACTGTAGAGTAGTAGTAGAAGTCATGAAAATATTCATGAAAAAGAATTAAAAGCGATTAATTACGACCTTTCATCGATAAATGATCAGCTTTATTACAAGTTTTGTGGGATGAATGTATACCAATAATTTTTATTTATTTATTATATATTATTGTCTAGCATCCCGGGCGGCCCCGGCCCCAGGGCACTTGCCCCGTACTCTCGGTGCCACTAGTGTGGATGAGCTTGCTTGATACTGATAGAGTTTATCACTTATGCTACAATACAATTGCCTTTAAATTTGTGTAAGTCTGTTGGCATAGCAGTTGATAATATTATGACACAGATATTTTTTAGGAAAGTACATTGTAATTTTCACAAAGTGCACATGTATGTCATTAAACATGGTAAGTGGGTATGTTCAACCTCACTGGGAAAGTTCTCACGATATATAATTTCAACTGGTTAAAAAGGATGAATTTGGACTTGCATGAAATGATGATTTCAATATGAGGGACTGGCAGTACAGCTCTTTGATTAATGATGCTTGGTGACAAGTGACAGGGACTTAATAGTTTGTGAGAACCAGCAGGTGTGAGCCCCTTATAATATCTAGGTCGCCACTCATTCAAATACACTATTGTTGTAGAAGGTCAATTTCAACAGACTTTAAGACCTCTTAGAAGTTGAGGAGAGTTGACAGAGGTTAATATTAAAGTAAACTGTAAATATTATTTAATATTCAAAATTAATAAGAAAACTCGATTTAAAGACATTAGTAAGGCACTGAGAAATTCAGTAATTATTTTTAAACATGTACTGCTGTACACATTTTGAGAAGGGGGAACAAGGAAATTTTATTTTAATGTTTAGATTTTGTATTGATTTTTTGGGTGGCAAGTCTTGAAATCTAATTTCTGGGACTTTGTTTTGTATAATTGCATCTCAAATATTAAGGACACATAATATTAATAAGGAACATATTTCAATGCCTAATATCTTCCTTATAGATTTTTAGCTTACAAAATGTGCATTTAAGTGTACTTAAGTCATCTTGAGCAATCAGCGTTAATTGAAAGTTACTCCCAAAATCCTTTACTTCCCTTGTTTTTCACACTGACCTTTGCAGTTACTGTAGTAGGGAAAATAACTGCCCATTTTAAGTAAAGGCTAGTAATTTGCATTACAGTTAAGTCTGTAGAATTGCCTACTGAATAGAATAGATCATCACCAACTGTAATTAATTAATTATTATTATTATTTAATGTTGTCATTACTAGTTTACTCACTATTGGTTAATATTTTATTATGTCATTGTGATTTGATTATTTCTTGATGTCATCACAGCAATATGGTCAAAGCGAGGTTATTTTGTCAACATCATCTCTCAAGTTTATTATTGCATTTCTGCTTTCAGTCAGTCGGTCTACCTGATACATAATTGCACAGTTACTAATTGCACATATTTCAAACAGTATTTTATGGCCTGTACTGTATGCATGTTGGTTAAAGTACAATATTTCCAGTCCCTCCGCCCCTGATCCTTGGTTCAGCTCATATTTTAATCAAGACAAACTCCACTCCTTAATAGGCGAGCAGATTATGGCCAAAAAGTCCTCTAAAAATCGTCGAGGTGGCAATGGAAGTACTACTGTAATGATGACTAATAATCATCATTAGATTGCTCATTGGAATAAAGTTAATTGAATTGAATTAAATAATAGATTATAAAATTGATTTGAGGTATAAAAATCTAGAGCTTGTCAACTCATTTTTTTTTTTTCTACAAGAGGTACACAGGGTACTGCTTTTTTATATTCATCTGGAACATCATTAATAATTAGGTCTATGAGAACAAAGCTTATGGTCTGGAATTATACATTGATCATCCCTTTTGAAATAATAGATTATTCCAATTATGGAACTACCAGTATCTACAGCACTGAAAAATAATAGTTTAAATTTTCTATTTTGTCTGCAATAATTGAATAATAAGAGAACATCTGTCATAAAGTGTACAGCAGTTTTGTATA